AATTGATTCAATTACAATCATAATTAAGAGCATACTTATCGTGTACCGAATTGTTAAATTTTATTTCAATTACGATATTATCTAGCAAATTTAATCTTGCAATCACGTTGAAAATTTCTGGAAGCTCAAAAATCTTATAATATAGAATTAAAATGTCGTACTCTAAATTAAAACAATTAAAAAGATTCTCTTAATTGTATTTTTAAATTTGAAATGTGTATATTGCATACGAATTTTAATGGAATTGAAAAATTGTTTAGTATAAAAGAGAGAGAGAAAATTGCGAAATTGTATAGCAAAATAAATGCACAAAATTTTTCCAATTTGAAAAAATTTACAAAAAGAATAAATGCCTTGTAAAACTACTTTTAGAATATGTGAGCTTGGAACTTTAAGAGTTTGTATTCTTATTAGAGAAGTTTTGCCAGACTAGCAAGACAATTGTGAATAGAGTATTCAGTATCTTACTACTTCATACTTTTCCAACAAAAGCTTGCTTTTCATTCATTTCATTTGTATCGAGACAGCTTGAAGCCTTCATATTGAGAAGCTCATTCATTTGAAAATAAATTGCTTTATTAATTAGTTATTCAGTAATTTTTCAACTCATGTTTAAAACTTGAACAAATGAATGTATCATCTATAGAAAAATAAGATAAATAAATAAAATGTGTACGAATGTTGAAATGTTGAATTATTTTACAGTAAATGTTGAATTATTTTATATAATAACAATAATAATAAAAAAATTATTATCATTAATTTAAACGATAAAAAAATATTTAAATCATGATATAGTTTACAGAATTTTATCTGTTATCTCTCGAGAAAATTTTACACCTAACGTATTTTCCAAAAAGATGGCATTTTATTTCTTCCTCATCTAGGGACACATAATACCACTGAATACTTACAAGCGGTGAGAGCGCGAATTTCTAAAATATGTATTTTAGGAGCAAGTCTTTCAAATAAATTGAACCCTGGATCTTTTTGAACAAACACAATAAATATGTCAAACTAAATTATATAGTATAAATTATATAGTATAAAATAAGCGATAAGTCACGCGTTAAATTTTCGGAGAATAAATGCCACGTGCGTGAGTTAAGCTCTAATTTTTCCGAGATCTCGCGATCTCACGTTGACACGTGCGGAATATTCACAATCGAAATGATTCCTAAATCTTCTTTTTAAATCCATCACCTTGGCACCGCTTGGCTTTTTCTGAAAACTTAATTCCGACAAACGAGGGACCGATATAACGATCGATTTGGAAGCGTGCTCAGCGATATCAATAAATACTATATCGTTTTTAATGACATTGATTTGCTGAGAGAAATGGTGGATAAGCGTGTAGGCGATACAGGATATATTCTGAAAATGGTTTCTGTCTTTCCCTTTCCGGACATCTTTTCTTATAGGATTAGGATTTGGGATAAGCTGCCGTTCGTTTCTACTTTCGGTGGCTGTGAAAGAATATGCATATATGTATATCACCGTAGTAAGCGACAACGCGTATTTCTACTATGTTATAAAAAAAAAATGGAATAAAATTCGCCTCTGTTTAGATGGAACGGATGGCATGAAATATTCATACCTCCCATTCTATCGATCGGAATAAAATAAACGCAGTAAAATCTTTAAAAAAATACACAGAGTGGTGTTTTTACGAAAAACTGGTGTTATTTGTCACTATTTATGCTAGAAATAATAGCGAGAATTTTACGAAAGAAAAATGATAAATCATCGTCATGTCATGAATAGCGTATACGTATTTCAAGAGAAACCTGATCTATATCGAGATGAAAAGGACAAAAAAGGAACAAATCTCCTCCCTTCCACCTTTTTACCCCCTTCGAAGTGTGAACAATGGACAAAACGCGTGATGCGGTTTAAAGGTGCTGTATCGAGGCATCGAATTTCTCTCTTGGATATTCAGACGTGATTCCTTCGATATCAGCTATTCGTTAAGTTATCTAGTCTTTGACAGTGATATGATTGATCGTTCATATTTCATAGTGTGATAAAGCAAATGTAGTTTCTGAAATGTTATCATACAAAGAATGAAGTCGATGATGCACTGCGTTTATATGATTGTGTATAGCATTGCATTTAACAAAAATAAAGTAGCAAACTGACAGTTTTCTTTCTGTTAAAAGATACGAAAAACAAATATACTCTCAATGAATTACATTTCAGTGCGTATATTATGCTAAATAAATTTTTAAAATATATAATATAAGAGATAGAAAATTTAATAAATTTATGTGATGTTTAAATAGTTATAAATATATAAATAATCAATATAAAGAATACAGAGTTGATAAATTATAATGTATAAATAATTATAAATTATATAAATAACTAAAGAATTCAGAAAGTCATGTTAAAGTAAATTCGTAATTTATAAGAAGCCTACATATATACAACTTTCTTTTTTACTCTTATGATTCTCAATAAATTATAGATTTACTGTATTCTTAATGTAATTTTCTTAACTGTAACACATATACCGACTGATCAATACTTGAACAAGATGAAAAATAAAGTTAAGTTCTTTTCATCGACGTGATGGTTTCACACATGGCCCGAAGTATCTTTACATCATGTTCTGGTGGAGCAAGCGCTCTGGCTTTAACTTCGGCTACTCTATGAGACTGGTCAAATGCACGCTTGCCTGACCGCTTTGTCCCATCTATATAGGTACAGGATAAACCCACAAGTTTAATTCAACTCTACACAACAACTTTGCGAATGAACGAGCAAGTGCAGATAACTGCGAAATAATTTACGAATATTTTAATATATCGATTATTCTCACGCACGTGAAATATTCATTCAAATTAATTGAGAATCTCTCTTTTCGAAGATAGAATAGACGATTGGTTGACCTTAACTGATGGCTGCCCAATCGAAATAAAAATTAGAGAATAAAAGGTTGAAAATATCAAAGAAAGATCTGTTTAAGAGTTTCACACATACAAATACACGTGCGCAAATACATACATATACAGACACTTCAACTTTAACTTCTTACTTTGATTTACTTGCGAAGACCGAGTTTATGTTCCAAGAGCCATGCCTAAGTTATCTTGAAATTTATGAAAAAAAAATTGCGATATCTCTTTTTAACCAACTATTGACTTTGTAAAGTCGTATCTTTCTCGTCTTTTCGTTCCTATTTTCTTTTTCGTGCTACAGTAATACTGAGTATAATTTGCAAGTATGCGGTACATGTCGCGTCATTATATCACGCCCTCACTATACGCACGCTCTCGTTGCATGCTTGACCCTAGATACTAGTATTCGCGTTACAACAGTCATTAAAAGCTACATATTAATGACGTCTGACGCGAAATCCCAGTAATAAGAGCGAATGTACAAACGTGGAATTTCTCCAATATAATAGAAATTTTTATATTGTATATGTTCATTAATATCAAACTGTTGAACTAATTGCGTTAAATTAAAGTCATATAATAAAATTTCGCATTGAAATATTTACAAATTTTACAAATTCAATGGATATTGAAAAGTATTTGTTTATAACATTGTTAGAATATCGTAAAATATCTATTTAATATAGATATAGATATTTTTTATAATATCGAAATTTTGTTGTTATAAATATTTGTAATCATGCTTTCTATATTTTTTCGAATCTTGTAAGACATATTTTTCGCTGTAAAAAGAACGCCTGAGATCTTGCATATCACACATTTCATTAAAACAACGTAATGTAGAGGATATTCTAGGGAAATGAAGTCTAGCTGCTCGCTAACTATTCTTGGAATTTTCAGAGAGACATGTTTCCTCTGAGAAAATACATAAAGAGACTTAGTTGAAAGCATCTTCTAAATGATATATTCAACAGTAGCGGCAATAAACTATTTTTAAAGAAGGGCATTTTTAAATAGATATTAAAATAAACTTTATTATTAAAAAAATGAAAATCTAAATAAATCATTGGAAACTTTTAAAATTTGAAAAATTAAATTTTCTTTGATCTACATATATCAATTTACTTAATTTGATTTAAGTAGCAATTTTGTAAAAAATTTGAATATCTCGTAAAATATATTCATAAAAATAGATGTGATCAAATTGTGAGTGCGAATATAAGATTGCTATATCGATATATTGCCTAAGACAAAACATTATTTGATCTTTCCAGTTAGAATTTTGATTTCCATTCTATTGAATCCGGAATTGATCGTCTTTGGAGTAATAACATCAACGCGATTGAAGTCGAAAGTGACTTCTCAAGGAGCGGTACCGATGATTACTTGCCGTAAAATTTATCGACACAGACAGACGGTGGAAAATCAATATCCGTGTCGGACTTTAAGACAGTAGGTGCAGCATCCCATTCCGCAAATAAAAATTTTTCATATATACTTGAATAATGCATTTGATGACAATTTTAATAATAATTGCCAGGAAAGTTATTTAAAAGCAATTGCATGTGTGTTTGTTATATTTTATCATATTCATAGCACATATTATGGTTAAATACATAGAATATAATAAAATAATAGACATAAATTATGATCATACATGTATGTTTTCCATGAATATATTAGTTTCATGTGCAACATACAATGATGGTAATATACCGTAGGAAGTTTGAGTGAAATTTGCTACGATATATTCCACTTTATCTCTCGTTATTCACAGGCTAAACTTTCGCCGTATCTCATTAGAGGTTTATTAGAGATTTTCATCTCTTAAAGTTCATAGAAAAACCACACAATTAAAGAAAAAGAATTCAGAAATTATTCATACACTTTAAATTTTTAACTCGCATTACTTCTGTCGATAAAATTATATATTCGCTTAAAGTGATATATTCCACTGCAAATTTTATTTATTCATAATAAATTATTTCATGGAACAATTGTTACAATATATAAATACCATATGTGAATAATTATTTATTATCATTATTTATAATCATTTATTATCAATTATTAAATATCTCGTATCTATATTATATAGGGTAGTACGATTTATATTTTTAGAATAGTGGATTATAACTCTTTTCATATGTTATAATTATATCTTTACATCTAATAGTCGTAGAAAAGAGATAAAGATTAATATGTTAATTTTTAACATAATAATTATAGCTTGAATTACTGTCAATCTTCGTTTTGAAACTGTTGTGCGCTATTATAAGAGATATTACATTCAGAAATTTAATTATACTATGATAAACTAGGTAATTCATATATACAGCAAGGAACAACATAATACATACTATTCATTCGGTGGTGGATCGAACGTCAACAACCAGAGGGAGATTGCATGGCACAGGTGATGTTTTTTTGTCAATTAAAATTTGTGATAAAGAATGAAAAAAAGCAGGTCAGAGAGAGAGGAACGTAAAGTAAAGTGAGGTGAGGAGAAAATAATGGAATGTCAACAAAAAGGTATGGCGTGACGTCGCGAGCCAAGGAAAGCCACTATATTTATTATACTGCGAGTTTTATGATTTAAAACAGTGTTGACACAGTGTAAATAATAGCACCCTGGTTCGGTGCCGTCGGAAATACCATATTCTTGAGCTCCACCCGGTCCTCTGTGCTGTTCTGATAGAGATACGTTCGCAAAGTATCCACAAATTGTTGGACGTCGTTTTTATCAATGATTGCCACGATACAACCGCCCCAACTGTGTACAACACGGAATAACGATTTGTTTCACTTTTGTTACGGAACAACAAAGTGAAAAGTAATAAATCAGCGAAATATATTAATATAATATTGAATAATTTTTCCACGGAAATCTCAACACACGCTATTGTCTAATAAATCCTTTCTTATAAAAGTTATAAAATTTCTAATAAAATAGAAAATTTGTTTTAAATTGATGAATTTAAATTTGATGTAAATTAAATATTCACACTTTCTTTGCCACTGTCTGTATGCATATTATTACATCTTGAACAGATGTCAAACTTATATTGATCACATCGTTATATATATGCATTTTATATGTTATATATATATTTTATATATTTTATATGTTATATGTATATATATATATTTTTTTATATGTTATATATATATATATATATATATTATAGGGAAAGGGGACAACATCGATATTAAAGATATTAGAGATATTATAAGCGAATGGAAGCTCTCGGGTTCCTGATCATTTATCTCTATATTTACGTCACTTGGAAAGAGACGCTTAAAATACAATACTTACCCAGCTCCTGTGAGTCTGGCGCCATATGCGCCGCAACATATAGCTCTTTCGACGAGTGAGTCTACGCTAGGATGGCTGCATTCGTACAGCTTATGGAGACTGGCGTGGCTCTTTGACATCAGACTGCCCAGATGTTGAAGCTTCTCGAGTTCCATTATACCGCTTTCCTCGTTTATACGGCGAAACGCGAGCACTCTGCTAGCCTCTGTAAAATCAAGTTGATCGAGGCGAGTTTACTGGCTTGCCATAATAATAAAGATCGCGCTTTTTAATCTGACGATGACGTAATGTGACAGCTAAGATATTTGCAAACTGTTTAATCAGGCACTAATCGATTTAATATTATTTAATATAGATGGATCGTAGAGTTTGTTGCATCGAAAAAATAAATAATTATAAAACTTTTTAAAAAATTAGCAATTATATAATAAAGAGGAGAAAATAAAAATAATTTTATACTTCGTGAATGGAAGATGTCAATTTTCTCTTATGCAATTAATTTCTCTCTCTCTTTCTTTTTTACAATATTTAATTTTAAAAACGCGAGCTGAAATTGACTTTTAAATTTTGAAAATATATGTCTATTACAATAATTTATAATTTTGTAGAATAATGTGCATATATATGATTAATCATTGGTTCACTTTTACACGTGCAAAATATTATGGGCAATAATTTTATCGTAAGTCATTGACGATCTGCAACTTTTGATACCTTTTTTACGTTTCTGATAATAACATTAAAAATAAAAGAAAAAAAGAATTAAATACTTTTATAATTGGAGTAATAAATGGGACAAAATAGTGCTCGCCTCTAACTTTTTTAATAGCTACACTTTTCTTTTCTTTTTTAACAAGCATAAAAGCATTCACAGATCTAACTGTAACGAGATATTCACTCGCACGAAAAAAAGTTAATGCATTAGCTTGGGAAACGAGAGGGTAAGCTCTTTTGATTTATCGGATTTAAAACTGCGTTTTACGATTTACCAGCGCATGAAAATTGATGCTTTTACCTTGAAAAACGTGCAGCGCCCGTTGCTGCAGCTTGAACGTTTGCGAGGTATTAAAGGAACTGATGAGAGACGTCTTCTTCAATCGTTCATAGTCTGTACCAAGACTCTCGCAGATCTATGGAGGAAAGAATTTATATTTCACAGATAAAATAAAAACCTTTGATTCATCATCAGCGAGAAGAATTTCGTTCAATAGCAAGTCATGACTGAACAAATAGTCTACAAAATGTAGCTCTCGCTCGCTCTGTTTTTTTATCCTTTTTCAAATTATTCTTCGAGTTGATAATGAGATTCATTCAATAGCAAATTAATATGGCTGAATAGATTGATAGTACTTCTAATAATGAAATATATGAATATAACCTCTTTTTTGTAGCGGATAATTTATGAAGTTTTCTTTTTTATGACGTACTTTTTTAGTAATCTTTAGAAAGATCCATGTCACATTATGCAAACGAGAAATTCTAATTCCTCTTTATTTATAGAACAACAATGCATACCTCATCAAGAGTATACGGCTGCTCGTGCAAATCCGTCATTACTACAGTAACCATCTCGTCCAAGTCCAAAGCGAGTTTCTCTTGAATGTCGATTAATCTTTGAACATGCTCCCAATCTTTATTTCTCTTCTTAGCTATCATCTAAATACAAAAGAGAGATTTTTCCTTGTTCAATTGGGAAATAATGAAGTAATATCATAAAAAAATAATTGCATGCTTCCGTAAGATTTATACCTCTCTGTTTCCATTGTCTTTGGCTGGAAAAGAATGTTTTAGGAAAAGAAATAAAATTAAAGAAACCGTAAGAGAGAGTTGGAAAATATCCTGGATAAATGCGAGGTGCATCGATCAATGTCTATCGCAGAGAGACAAGCGTGAAAGCGTAATTGAAAAACGTGTCTTGTTATTCTTCGATAGTCTCTTTCTTTGCGAATATATTTACAGATCTTTAAAGAGTTCAGCGCTGTTTAAAATAAAAAGATAAATCAAATCGCGAGTACAATTACGTTTTATTCTAAATCAATATTCGCGAGTAATAATATTTGCAAGCGTAGTAAGCAAGCGTCGTTATAGAGATGTATAACGAGCAGAAGAATATCAAGAGAAAGCCCGGCTTATAATTAAGTAGACAACAGCAGTTATTTAATAGTTGGTAGGATTAAATTCCCGGTTTGATTATCTGCATCTTGGTATTCTTCTCGCTCGTATATATATGCATCGTAACGAAAAGTTCTTTCTTCAAATACGACATTAACGCTAACAATACCTGTGCAGCTAATCGACATTCTGCAACTCTGAGATTGAAGTCGGTAGTCGAGGCTTTGTTGTGATAAGCTTGACTATGCGCTATTACGAAGACTGCATTCTCTGGTAGTGTTACATCGATGCCACGTAAAGGATTAAAGTTTATCAACTTTGCAGAACCTTCACATAGAATAAACAAGAAATAATACGGAAATATTAAAATTCTTATAACATTATTCGAAGATTTTAAATTTTATATTTAATTTCGCAATTAAACAATTGTTCTTTCTCTCTCTCTTTCTTTCTTTCTCTCTCTCTCTCTATAAATTATTTTAAATAAATTTAATTTGATTCTATAATTTTAAATATTTAAATAATTAAATTTAATTCTATAATTGTATATGTGTATTTTTTAAATATCTAGTTTGATTTGCATAAAAGTAGTCTAATAATAAATAATAAAAATATAATTACCAGCTTTTCCAAGAAAAGCGATGGCCTGATCCATTCCTCCACCTTGAGTTCCGATATGTCTCTCTGCTCGAGCACTGATAGTTGCCAATTCATGCTTCGACAATTGAATCTATAATACCAATACGAATAGAATGGTAATATCGGCGCGTGTATCCTAATTTACGTTGATGATTTATAAAACATAGTTAATAATACTCAGAATAAGATTAAATAAAGAAAACTTTTTCTCTTTCTCATAAAACAAATTTTCAGATACAAACTCTCTAACTGAGAAATATGAATTTAATGTCTTTAGGAAACAAAAAGAGACAAGATAATGATGTACAAAGACAAAATATTAAAAAAGTATCTCAAAGATCCGTGACTACGTCGCGTCCGATATCCATTCAAACAAATACGAAACTGTCAAAGAAATAAGATCTATATTCGAAAATGTCAACGATGATATAAAAGAATGCTTTATAGGATAGTAATCGGTAGTTTGATCTACTTGGAAACACAATACATAGTTGATAAGAGACCTCTCTAAAAAGTCGATAAGAAATATGTTATTTCATTTCTGTCCCATTCGTACAAGTCCATAAAAGTTTGACTAGAGACTCGTACGAAAGGTTACTGGGGAAACTTCTCATCGGCAGTAAGAAAAAAAAGATCCTAAAATTAAAACTTTAATTTTTTAATATCCACGCAGAAGCAGTTTATTTTTTATTAATTATTAAAATCTTAATTATTAATCTTTATTAATGAGAAATGAATTGTTTCTGTGCTGATACTGAAAAAAGTAAAGTTTTAATTAATATTGCTCTTTCTAATATGAAGTAAAATGCAAAGTTTGATAATGTTTAACATTTTGCATAAGATAAATACCTGACTGGCATGTACAATTGAAAGGAGAGCGGCCGAGACGAGCGCACTAGAACTTGAGAGGCCAGAATTAGGAGGTATGTTACCCCACACCGCAACCAGAACTCCCGTAGGAACGGACTCTGTCGGGATCACTTCCAATGCTCCTTTTACACCGCACAAAAAATATTTGTACCATGCCGGTCCGCTCTCACTGTCGCTAATGCAAGATCTGAAACGTACGACTGCGTTTTATCTATGGCGGTTCATATCTATGGAATTTTGACTGTCGTCGGAATTAAAATAGCGAAAGAGAAAATGTCAGCGTATTATTAGATTTAATTGGATTCGTTCGAAAAATTCCGTCTCTCTTCCTACATTTTCCCTCCTTTTTTACATAATTAACGTAAATATAATATGTGTGTGTAATAATAAAAATCGAAAAATCGATAATGAAATACGTTCGTTTAGTTCGCTAGCGCTAACAATAAGTTACATGCTATCTGACGTGGTTGCGCGACATTGAATAATGAATGAGATTAAGAAAGTTCGTATTATCTTCCCAAGTATTATACCGGGAGTAAAGAAAGCGCGGAGGAGGTAATTTAATACAAACGAAGAGCGAGGGGTCACGGAGGGGAGAAAGAGCACGGTGTCATCTGCTTTTCTTACATTATACGCGTAGTCGGTTGGCCACATCTATCATTCTTTTTACCGGAATTTTACACCGTAAAACAATTTTAATTTTTATTTGATTTAATTACGCGAAATGAGAGGAGCCGCAGGGATGTTATCTCAATCATGAACGCGCACGTGCACTGTGCGGGAATAAAGCGCGTATAATTCTGGCTTCAGTGTCATAATCCAAGATGGCCGCGGTGAGGGATCAAGTGGCTTAAATTGTTAAGGGGGCTATAAGTGCTTGAGATCGCAACTGCAAGCATGACAATGTGTTATAGAAGAGATATTATGTGCCACGTGCAGTATACCGCGCTACATCATATTAGATAAGTATTATGTGTACATATCACGTGGGATTTTAACAAAGCACAAAGAAAAGTTTCTTTTTTTTTTAATATCATGACACGTACGAGCTGTTAAAAAATTAATTAACTTAAATTTTCTCAAACTCTCTCTTGTCTAAAATATTAACTAACGTTGTGTGTTGATTTAATAAACTTGAACTTTCATTGAGTTATATACTCACCCTACGTTCTCGAAACTGCATTGAAACTCCTTGTATTTAGGATCAACATTAGTGAGGCAAATATCGCTATATTTTGACAGTGCCACTGCAACAAGGATATCTTGTTCAATAGCCATTGGACAGACGGCATATCCGCAATAATCGATGTGCTCGCCTATCAGATTCACTCTGCAACATGCGTACGATACAGAATCGTTAGTAAATGTATTTATCAGTAAATGTATCTATCTATTGTCAAAATAAGTTGCAAAATCCGTAAAAAGAATTTTCCACAAGATATTAGCGATATTATAACATATTACAAAAATTAAGATATAAATTTAGCTGATAATTATGAAAGAAATTTATATTATATATTTTATTTTATATATTATATTATTATATTTATTTATTTTATATATTATAAACAAAATTAATTTTATATAATATTTGGAGCTTGAATTATAAAGCATTTGTGCTTCGATATATTAAAAATAAATATCGGAATATATGTGCTCAATAATAAAGTAATCGCTTAATGATTCAAGATCAGATTCGATTTTCGATTTTGTCACTTTGTGTGGATTAAAAAAATTTGAGTAATAAAGAAATCCATTGTGATAAAAGCAAATAATTGAGATTCAAGTAAAGTATAATCTTGTAAAAAAAAAAATTAAAAATAGCTCACCTTCCCGGCACTCGAGCGAAGAAGGAAGGTTCCACATTGTATTTGGAGGTGAAATGAGCGGCCAAGGTCTTTAATCGCGGTAAAATATCGACGGCGGGTGTCAAGATGGGCACAAGGTCATCCGCTTCGACGACACAAGCCCTGTTAGCTTGATGGGACATTCCTAAGAGTCAACTACGCAGAGGCATAAAAAGACCTCTTAAAATCGTATAGGATGTTTAGCTTAAATTAATCCACATTATTTGCGAAATCGAGTGTACCTTCCACAAGTTTCATTATCATTTATGCACGATTAGCTTAATGAAATCATACTGTTACACGTCGCGGTTACACAATTTGTTGCACGATTGAATGCTTTCCTTTAGCATTAGCGGTAATTTTGTTGGTAATTACGGTACTATTTCAGGTATAGCCACAGCAAATACAATTGAGTAGGAGTACGCATGCAGCAATCCTGCTACGTAATCTCATTTAAGCCTCTTGTTCCTGATGTGACTATGAAATTACATAATAAGAAACATTATGGAAAATGTATGTATATATATATATAATAAAAATATGGAGTATCATACATTTTTTCTAAATAATTTACATAAAATATTTATAAAATTTTTATTATATTTATATATTTATATAAATTTATAATTAAATTTTGGAAACATTTAAAAAGTCGAATCTCTTTAAATTTTTTTACATATCTAAAACATTATATTATTATTATTATTATATATCTAAGATATACTTCAACCACACGAAATTGCAGATTGGTAATTTTTCGTAATTTATGCCAAAGTAAAAGACGTATTTGTCAAGAAAATAATTGCTTGACTGACTTCTTATAGAACCGTGGCAATATACAATGCTTTTTGTAAGATAAAAACGAAATACATAATAATAAAGTACATAATAAAATGGTTGGGGTAAAACCTTTTGAATTTTATTACCTAGTAAAGTCGCTACCTTTTCAATGGTCTTTTATTCAAACATCCAGGTCGCGAGATACCAGCTTTTCCTTTAATTTTGGAATGGTATATTGCATGGAAATGACGTTTGATGTATGTACATACAACGCGAATCAACTTGTTACGTGAACCGCATAACAAATCTGCTTTATCGTGGAACTATTGACGGATTAATGTCGCATTATGGACCAAACAAGATTTGCGAAGCTATTAATGCGTAACAGAATAATTACATTTACATTATGTCCGCACCGGAAATCGAACAACCAACCCGGCGACACATTATTATCAAGTGACATTTCACCTTTATGAATATGACTCGAGCTTCTTAAAACTCTTTAAAAAATGTTTATTTTGTCTTCGCTTGAGATATTACAGATACAATGAGTGAATTCAGAAGCACGTGCATTCAGAAGCATGATTCAGTAGCAATTGAATGTGATTGGTGAATTCAAACACGAAAACCAATCACAATCAATAACTAATTATAATATTGACTAATTATATTATTGCTTTTGGATGCATCCATTAAAAACTTTCTCGTTATAACGGCAAATAATTTTTATTTGCAGTTTGCATTATCGAGCTAAGTCTAACATTTATTTTCTTCAAATGATAAGATATATAAAACTGGTTCATGCACACATAAATAATAACGATAAGTCAACATCGTTCATGATAATAATTTGACATGATTTTTTATAATACTTTAATACACACAGCAATTTCATAGTAATTTTTAGTGTCATTAGATGTCCTATATAATTGAATTAATATTTGTCATGATACACGACATATAAAGAAAATCGATCGCTTGGTAATTCATTAATAAAGAATAATCGTCGAGTTCTTATATCACATATATATTTGACCTATATAATTGGCTTCATTCGCGATTCCATTTTTTAGAGAGAGATATAAAGATATTTTTAGAGAGATATGTAAAGAGAATTATATTATATTATATATATATATATATATATATATATATATATATATATACAATAGTTTATTTTAAATATCTCTAACATAGATTTATTAATCATTTCTTGAGCAAAATCGATAACTTATATAATGCAAATAATGAAAATCAACAATTGTGGATTAAAATGCCAATTTAATCGAAAGTGTAGTGATACAATAAGATTTTAAAACACACACATCTTACATTTGTATTTGTAATCGCGCATCGATATCAATTGAGCACATTACCAGTTGGAATTATTGCTATCTTATGAAACTTATTTCGTAGCTAGATGGAACATCTGTTGTTAATTCCGCATTGTGGATTTATCATATAATTCTTTATGCACAAGAGAAAGTAATACGACTGTAGATTGCATTGCGAAAGATAATTGCGTTTTTGATAAAAATTATAATAATTTCACTCATTATAATAATTTTAATTTTCCGCTCTCTTGAAAAACATTGAATCAGGAAAAATGATAAAAATCTTATCTCATTTAATTATAAATGATGCAAGTAATCAGTAAAGTCAAAGACCTTTTATATTACTTTAAAATTCTATTCGCTTAAAAATTCTATTAAAGTTTCGCAAAACGTACTATGGATGTCTTCGCGGCATCAAGGAAGAATTTTTATGAGAAATCAGAGAAAAAATTTGAATAAGATTATAAATATTATAGTTTTTTTTCAATAACAAAAATCACGAAATCATGTTTAATTTAATTATGCTTTAATTATAATTACAAATAATATTATTAGCAATTACCTCGGATTTATACTTTATACATATCAAAGTAAACAAATGTCTGCAACAAGTGTAAATAATAAAAAACAAGTCTGATAAATCTAAAGTAATTGCTGATAATATTATTTGCTAATAATATTATTATTATTTGCAATTATAATTACTAGAGCATAATTCGATTAGTAGACATCATAATATTTGTTCAACATCGCATATTGTGTTATCCCACGATACGTGATTCATAATAGAACTTTTCGTGATGCGCGTGCGTCAAGTTATTCATGATTACATCAGCTGCGCCGGTTGTGCCGCGTCAGCTGTTCGTGTGTCAAAAACACTGACAAACACTACAACGTGACGGTAAGGTTTAATAATAAAGCGTTTCGAAATGCAAAAGGAAATTTTGCAGGTTGATAGGAACGTACCTTGTTTTACGGCTGCTCACGATGGACTAAGCTAAATGCTCAACACGTTATCGCCGTTGATTAACCTTATCAACACGTGATGCGTCTTTTTTGATATACGCGACATCCGGACTACAGTCCACCACTTATCGATCTGAACATCTCACGAGGGTACAGCATAATGTCGAGTGAGTCGCTGTTGCAGGTGTATCATTCGCCATACTGACTACGATCACACGTGGCGGATTATTTGAACACGTCCGTAATAAACGTGGAATAAAATTCAAGACTTGATAATGTTCTTATCAATAATAAAGCAAAACGTCAACTTTTATTCTATCGTGCAAAAAATTTTAAAAATTGCAAATCATATATTATAAAATATTGCAAGTATTGTCAAGCTTTCTTTTTAAATAACTTGTTTGATTATAAATCTTATCAAAAAATGCATAAAATAATAATACTCTACTTGCTTTTAATTTAAATTCGAAGCATATATTAAATTGATGTTAATATGTTAATATTTTTCTAACATTTTATCGAAATTTATTTTTTTATTTTAATAAAATATTTTCATTCATATCTGTTGCATTTTGGTTTATGTCTTTTTTAAAATAAATATAATTTTCAGACAAAAAGATCAAAAAATATCTTAAAAACATTTAAAGGACTTTAAATCGTCTTTTAGGCGTCTTTTGGACATGTGTGCTGTCTGGATTAGATCTTACGTTCTTTTTTGAAATAATCAAGGAATACCACTTATTATAAGAATATATCATTTGTTTTATAATTTGTAAAGAATATATAATTTAAAGAAAGAATATATTTTAAAGAAAGAATTCTGTTATATTTTGCTCTTTACAGCTGTTTTAAAAATCTTAACAGAAGCTATATGCTCGGTTAGTAACCAATATTGATACCGTTGGTCAGTAAATTACCTTCAGCTGATTTTATTAATAATTTTTTATTAATAATTGTAAATAATACTATATATTAATAAATTATTGAACATAACATTAAGAATATCTTACATAGTTACTAAATTGTTGAACAAATATATTATTTCCGTTTCATCGATAAAGCAGAAATATCGAATACTGATGTTTCCACGTGGATAATCTCCCATGTTGTTGCTTATTAATAATTGTTTGTTTAATCATACTTATATTATGTTCAATGTGTCATTAAAGGATCAATTAAATAAAATTATAATTATATATATCTTAATTATCTGAAGATTTGATTTTAAAGCTTTTAATCATTTCAAAATGGTTATAAATCGATGCACAAATATTAAAAATCAATACAAAATATATGTGATATTAAAGGAATTGTAAAGAGTATATAATTGCAAATATAAAAGTTAAGTTTCAAATTTATAAGTAACACAGAAATATGTCGCTTACGCAACTTTTCTCTTCCAGTGCAAAAATTCGACGCGCTAATCTTGAGTCATATCGAAAAGGATTTTATCCAACTAGATTATCGTGTCCTATAATCTTGCAAGCTTTACCGATACGACTGTCGTGTAACAAAGTACTAGAGTCTCGGGAATTAGAAAACGCGTTTAAATCTCACTCGTGCAGTTGGCGCAATTTCGTAGAGAAAAGAGGAATACGTATTCCGGGGGCAACGCGAGTACAAAAGCGTTCCTTATATCATTCTCGGGATTAAATTGCGTTATCGAGGAAGATGGTAGGCAGTCAGCACACCATAATGTATGTTGCCCTCGAGGCTGAGTCGAACACGATCAGCCCGAGTGAAATGAACCGTTCAGAGGGTACTTTCCTGAATTTTTATGCGATCTGCCGCGCTCAGACAATCCGAATTACTCCGACTTTGTTGGCGACGCTCGCTGCAAACGGATTCGAAATCACAAGAGACTTGTTAATTAACTGCGTAATTCTTGAGAATGTCTCAGAGGACACTGGAATCTATTCCCATATTTTTTTTCAAAAAAATATGCTTGATTATATCTAAAAAAATATATGTACACATAAGTGTACGCAGATCAATATTTAAGTTTTGATACATGTGTGAGTGGTTTAATGTCAAAACTGCCTAAATTATTATTATCATTAATATTGTATATAAATATGTTAATATTATATGCATAAAATATTATTTATTATATTATTTATATAATTTTTTCATATTATATATTTATATTATTTTTATATTATTTATTTATATTATTTTTTATATTATATATTAATTATATTTATATTAATATCATAATCGTCAAATTTATATTTAATTGTAAATAAAACATTTAAAATTATAAATCAAAAATTTTAAAAATTTTAAAAATTAAAAATTGTAAATCTAAAACTCCCACGATACTCATTTGTCCATTTCTATTTATACGATTCGCAAATTTTATCGTCCGTAAGGGGTTGAAATATTGTTGAAGCGTAGGAAGCTGCGAATGAGATCGGTACAGTATTAAAGGGCACTTCTCTACGTAACGTTATGATACGGTTTCCATATCGTTGAATCGGCAGCGTGAATCGCGAGTCGATTTCACTTGCGTCGCATTTGGCGTGCGCTCGTCAAAATTGCAGCAGTAGCGGCAGCAGAAGCCTAGGCTAGCAGCTAGAGGTTTAAGTGAAACAGCCATCATGCAAGCGGTGGTGAAAAGGGGAGTGGTTGGTGGTGAAATAGGAGCCGGTGGCTGCTGTTATGCGATGGTGGGAGAAACCGGGCCAGTAATCTCCGCTCACGGCTCCACTTCTGCGTAATTTATTACGACTTGCTGAGCATCCCGCAGGGTCGAATCCAACTTTGGACGGCGGGGCGCGCTTTCTCTCGCCAACGCGAACCGAGGATTTATCGTAAAATACAAAATGAACCGTACAATAGCGAGAGTCGGGGATCATCTCGAAGAACCAAAGGGTTTCTGGAAGTACCTGATGCAGAATCCAACGATTACATTGCGGTACTTTTTATGGTCTCCGTCTCTAGAGAGCAAAATTTAAGAAGCAGTCTCATCATAATGCTCAATAATAATGATTATATGCAAATTTATAACGTAAAATGTAAAGTTGACAATAAATTAGAGAACGATATTGTTATAATTTTATGCAAGGATATACAAGTTTTAATTTTCTCGCGCATCATCACGAATACTCAACACGTAGTCTTAAATTGCATTTCGAAATCTCGCTGTTACACGATCGTAAAATATTTTGCGTCCATTCAAGCGCGGTGTAAACGGTCGACACGACGTAAGAACTTCGGTGTGTGCGGTGCCCGCGGAGGGTGCATCCCTGGGCGAACCGTATAGCACGTATTATACGAGGGTGAGGGTGATCAACAATGGCGGCACGACCTCAGGAGGCTCCTCCGTTCTCCGTTCCCTGTTCCCGACGCCATTTTACGTTGATTACGATGCGGTTAGCTCCTTCCAGCCTCCCGCAACCCCTCGAGTCCCTCACTCCATCGCTCGGACTGCCTTCCCTTCCTTTCAACCCTTCTCACCCCGGCTTCTCCTCTCTCCACCAGTCCTATCCTTCTCCGTTCCTTCCAAGGCACTTACACACAATCGACTCGGCCAACGCAATCCATGCTCGCCGGTCGTCGTACTTAAACTTTGTGGTCCCGAAGATAAGAACAGCATGGATCGGCGACTGATCTATGAGTCTTCGTCATGTTTACCGAACCGCTGGACATCTCGCTTTAGTCTCTTATTCGACGATGTATCGCGCGAACGTCTGAGCGTGATCAAATGTTACTTTCTTATAATTTACATAGTAAAGAAAGTAGAAGAGTAAAGTATAAAAAGCTTAGACAGCGAATTATAATTTGTTTAGAAAAATATCAAAATAATTTTTTTATTTATATTGAGATGTAGAGACTAGGAAAAATCTTGCGAAGATTTTTTTTTTTTTACAAATTTGAAATTGCGTTTCTTTAATTCCGAATGTTTTAAAAAATATGGAAGACAAAAATAAGAATACAGCATGGATTACAATAAAGAAAAATGTTTAATAAAATAGAAGTAATTTCTTGCTTTGTCATTCATTAATTTCTTGCATGGCACATTCATTAAAGGCAACATTTCCAACTTTATTCGACATATCTATTCCGGAACATAAAAATGCATGTAATTTGCCTCGCTAACAACGACAATAACAATTCCACGTGAATTATAGCTTTAATCCTAATAGATCCGATCTTTATGATTCCGACCTATCTTGTAATGGATAAGTTTGGTCCTTGGAAGACAAAGTAGAAATAAGAAACTCGGATAAATATGAGAGATAGTAGATCAGTTTCTGACAAAGCTACGAATTGTATTCTTGTGTTAGTTTTTATGGGGTTGGCTAATATCTTCCATATCACCGAGCATAAGATATAAATATCAGAGTTCACTCCCCATCGTTATCATCTGGTTTATTAAAACTTTCCAATTCTAATATAAGAGATTGCTCTATAATTTATTGCTTAAAGAATCAAATATATGTATATAATATATTAATTTTTTCATTTTTAATAATTAAAACAATATCTGTCACACAATAATACATACATAAATTTTATAAGTTTTAACTAAAATATAATTATTAAATTAAAATAAAATACAAATTATAAATAATTAAAAATACAAATAAATAAAAAAAATAAAAATTTTATTCAATAAATGTTCAAAATCAACACAAATATTTTGTGATAACTCAATACATCATTTATCGAAAAATATTATGTTAAACGTATCCACATATTTTTAGCAATTCTCAAAGTATAAAAGTTACATGACTATTGTATGTTGCTGTTATTGGAGTGTTCAAAAAGAACGCAATTACAATCGTTTCAACATTCGAGAGAAATTGTTGACGAATCGTGCCGGCAAAATGGAAACTGGATAGCTTCCTATCTCTGAGTACACTGGTGAGAACAAGAAGCTTGAAGAAGGTAGGAGGAGATGACGAGAGGGCGAGTTGGACAAGACAACGAGGGAAGATGGAGAACGAGAGGAGGGGATCTAGAGACGAAGAGAGATGAAATGGATGTAGATGCGGAGATAAATAGAGATAGATGTAGAAATCAGGATAGAGATAGACACGGGGAGAAAGCAAAGGGAGGAAGACGAAAGGAAACGCGAAGGGAAAGAGAATAGAGGAACGGGGATAGAGATGGGGGAAGAGATGTGCACGT